TCTCAACTTTACAAATTAGGGTCACATCAGGGCACAGGGGAGTCCCCTCCCATACCACTCCACTGCTCAGTCTCCTTCCCCTCGGCCAGCACTCACCCTCCCTAGACCTGCTCCCCCAGCCTCCAGTGGATGCCCTGAGGCCAGGCAGTGGCTGGCGACTCACGGCCATCCACAGGTGCCTGGGGCTTCACTGTGATCAGCTGGTGCCCACCTTTACCTGAGGCCTGAGACACTGTCCTTTCCAGAGCCTGAGGGGCCCCGAGAGCCATGGGATGCTCCCTGTCTGGGAAAGGAAGAGGCAGTGAGCAGCTTACGCTCACTGTGCTTCAGACTGCAACCAAGGAGCAAGCAGAAGGCTGTGCAGATGGGTAGAGGTGGTGGGAGCCGGAGACCCCAGAGAGGAGGGAGGGAGCCCGGGCCTGGCTTCAACCTTTGAGCCGGGAAAAGGGGGTCTGGCCATGGCCATCACACCCCTGACAATACAGTAATGAGCCCTCACCCCATTTTAATTATCTGCTGTCCAAATAATTACCAGCTTGTTTATTTCACTTAACAGCAGCCATACTTTTTTCTCCTAATATTGATTTCTATGTTTTCCTGGTCGGTTCATTATCTTTCCTACCCCGTTAATAGGCTCCTGAGGTCTTGAGTGAAGAACATGGGAAGGAAGCAGAGAGAAGGAGCTCAAGGGAACATGGAGGAAGGAGAGAAGTGGCCCAACCCTTCCTGTTCAGCCTGAGGTGAGTCACTGCCCTCTCTGGGCCTGGAATTCTAGAACCCTGGCTCCGGCCACAGCCACTCATCTTGATGCAGTCAGGGTCGATTTTTTTCCCCCTGAGACAGGGTTTCTCTGTGTTGCCTTGGCTGTCCTGGAACTCACTCTGTAGACCAGGCTGGCCTCAAACTCACGGAGATCTGCCTGCCTCGGCCTCCTGAGTGCTGGGACTAAAGGCGTGCACCACCACGCCTGGGTGGAATGTTTTAAAATGAAAGAAAGGAGGGAGAAGGGGGTGGCAGAGGCTGATGTGCCCTCCCTGTCAAGAACTCTAAAGGGACACGCAGAAATGGAGTCAAGGGAAGGGATGGAGAATCTTGGAGAAACGGCGCTAATGCCAAGTGGGGCCCCACGGAGGCTTCGGGGTGGAGGCCAAGCTTCCTCCTGTCCCCCAGGAGACCCCACCCCCCGAAGCCCAGCTCTCTCGGGTCTGGCCCCCATCCCTGGCTTCTGCCTCACCTTGCCTGCCATCACCATGGAAACACAGGCGATGCTATGATGTCACATGGTTTCAGAAGAGCAGCCCACTTCTCTGGTTTGGGGGTGAGGGCAGAGCAGGGGAAGGGAGGGTCAGGTCCTCTTTGGGGGAAGATTTAGAACTTTCTAGAAGAGGTCATGTGCTCTTTAATAAATCACTAATAATTGTATGAATATTTAAATCTTAATACAAACCTGCAATAGGCCCAGTGAGACCCCCCCCCCCCCATGCAGGTATTTATGGCTCTCGGGCTGGAATATATAAAAGTTGGCATCAGTCTGGTTGAACTGCTGTTTTGCTGCAGCTGAATGGGTAATTGGGAGTGAGAGGCGCTATCCGTGGATATAAATTACCTACAGTAAACTGAGGGCATTCACGGAGAGTTTATTATCAATTATCTCTTGCTTGTTCCCCTTAAAACGAACTTTAAGTATATTAATGAGAAAATTTACAGGTCTTAATGAAATGGGGGAAGTGTGAAGTGGCTGAGCCCCTCCCCCCAGCTCGGCCACCCTGGGACACTCAGCAGCCTGGCACCTCTGTGCCAAGCCGCCACTGTGCCAAGCCAACTCCATCTCTTCCACCTGTCTCCCACCCCTCTCCCCAGAGAGTGGCACCAGGATGAGAGGGGTCAGCTTCAGCAACACAAGTGTCTGCTCATCCAACAATTCCCACCAGGGCCTGCTGTGTGCGGACAACCCGCTGCAGGAGACTGAGGGCAGGAGACCTTCATCTGCCCCCTCAGCACAATGTGGGCACTGCCATTGGAGCGGCACAAATGGAGTGTGGCAGGGGATGGGAGGGCAGAGAGAGAGAGAGAGAGAGAGAGAGAGAGAGAGAGAGAGAGAGAGAGAGAGAGA